GAAATAAAAAAGCTCAAGGACACCTTTCAAAGGATGACAGTGCCAGAATTGGAAAGATCTAAGAGATCATCTGGTCCCACCTCTCCATGAATAAGAATCCCTTCTATAAGACCCTGACCAAGTGGTCAGCCTACATCCTCATCCAATGATAGGGAGCCTGCTACATTTAAAGGCAACTCATTCCACTTTTGGAGAGCTAGGAAGCTGGGAATTGTTAGGAAGGTTCCTCCTTAAATTGGGATGAAATCTCTCTCTTTCCAATTTCCACACTCTGTTCCTAGTCCTGCTGTCTGAAGCCAAGCATAACAAGCCTAATTCCTCTTTTCCAATAGGTATCCTTCAAATACTTGAAGATGATAATCATAACCTGCCCCTCCTTTAGACTAACCCCCTTCAACTTTTGATGTGGTCTCCAGTCCCTTTCCCACCCTCGTTCTTCTTTGCATTCTGTATAGTTTGTCACAATATTTCAATATGTTCTGACTGACGCATAGGGCTGCTGGACCATTCCCTTCCTCTCTTTGGCTCTATCATTTCCTTCAGATTAGCTGTATTCCTCAGACCTGGGAAAGGGAGAAGAGAACAGTCCCTCTATTTCCAGTGATATCCATGGGCCTCAAGCTTTTTCCTCCCCTTCCCAGAATCTGAGTTCCGGGTACCTGGATACTTGTCATCATAGGATTTCAAGCTGAGGTCTGATCACAGTCATCCTGCCTTTTGGAGTTCTTATGGGCCAGTCCATTCTACCTGCTCTGGCATTGACAATAAAGGTGTTGTCAAGCAATGACATGGACATTGTTCTTTGGATCCAGAGGTGGCTGGAACTGCTACCTACCACCATCCTTGCTCTCGGCAATTCAGCCTGACTCCTGAGGTTCAAGCCCCAACTCCTCCAAAGCCTAGTGCTCCCAAACCCTGAACCCCTAAAGTCCTTCTTAAAATGTGGTGCCCAGCATTGAACCATGTAATCCAAAAGAAGTGCTCAGACCAAAGAAAGGAGGACTGTTCACTTCTTCTCTGCTCTTGCTGCTTCTCATACCTGACCTTCCATTTCCTGACTCTGCATCTTTGAAAAGGCTGTCTCCCCTGCCTGGAATACTTTCTTGCCCCACCTCTTAGAGTACCCAACTTCCTTCAAAGCTCAATTCAAGCAACACCTTCTACATGAGGGTTTTCTACCTTCTTCCCAGCTCGTGGTGCTTTCCTATCTTGTATTTCTTTTGCTCATGCGTACAAGCATTTCCCCCTAGAATGCAGGCACTTTGAGGATGAGGATTGTTTTATTTTTGTCTTAATTTGCCTAGCACTTAGCATAGTGCCTGGCACATAGTAGGCACCTAATAAACATTTCTTGACTGACTGACTGATGAATCTCTACTGTATAGGCCTGGGGCTTCTTCTCTGATTGCTTCTCCCTTCCTCAGGAACCCCTCAAACTCCAACCACATTCAATCTCCATCCCAGCTTCCTCGACATCCAATTCACAACCTCCTTAACCTCTATCAAACTCCATTCTTCCCCCTATCCTGACCCAGCCCCAAATTCCCTAAACCTCAATTTTCCCAACCCTCAACATTTCCTCACACTTCAGTTCCTTGACTCACAGCCATGCTCCCTTACTCCTTGGTTCCCTACCCCCAAACACACATCCTGAGTCCCCAGACAACAGTCTCTGGCCTAACCCCAGCCCAGCCCCATCATTCCTATGACCACAATATCTCTGAGAAAGCATGAAGAGACAAACAAACCACTCTAAGAAGCCACCCTAACCAAGCTCTGTAAGGTCCCTGCCCCACAGAAGGGGAGATGAAATCCTAGTGAGGCTGGCTCCCCTCCTTCCTTCACAGGATACATTTTAAGGGAGGTGGGAAGGAGTTTTCCAACAGCCACCTGGGGCTTTGGGGAGCTTTTCCCCGGAGTTTCTTGATTCCCTCCCTCTTATCTTTCCCCCTCCCCCTCCAGTTTCTGGTGGCCTATTTTGAGGTTGGCTGGGGGAGTTGTTGCTGTTCTGAGCAAAAATAAGCAAGAAGAGGTTTTAAAACAAAACCAGCTGGCGTCTAGAGTGTCACAAACCTGCAGCAAACAGGGGGTGGCAGTGATTCTGAGTGTGATGGGTGTGTGTATGTGTGTAAAAGAAAGAAAGGAAGGAAGGAAGGAAGGAAGGAAGGAAGAGAGGAATTGTGTGGGGGGTGTCTGTGATGTATATGGACATGTGATCCTGGGTGACTATGTACATTTATAGCTTTATGTTGCTACATGTGACTAAGATGTATGTGTGACCAATTCAGGAGAGAGAGTTTCCTGGACATAGAGCAGGCAAACCTGTGGACAAATCCCAGCTCTTCCACTCACTCACTGACTGTGTAGCCTTGAAGAAGACCCATTCCTCATCTCTGGACCTCAGTTTCCTTCTCTGTTGAATGAAGGGGTTAAGTTAGTTGGTGTCTAAGGACTCTGCTATCTCTAAGGATCTAGGACTGATCTGTCTCTGACCATGTCTATGATATGTGTATCTGCCTGACACAGAAAGAGAACAAATCTAATCTCTCTTCCATGGCAGCCTCTCCGATACTTGGAGACAGTGACCACATCCCTTCCTGAGCTTTATCTTCTCTAGGCTAAACATGCCTGGCTCTTTAAACTTTTCCACCTATGACCTAGACTCTAGTACCCTCCCCATCCTGGTCATTTTTTTTTCCTGTACTCTCTCCAGCCTATCAATGCTGTCCTTAAATGTGGTGCCCAGGCCTGAACACAATACTCCAGATATTGTCTGATCAGACCAGAAGACAGTGGAGCTATCATCTTCCTTCCTCTGGCCACTGCTCCCCCTTTCATGCAGATGAAGATCATGTTCATTGTTTAGGCTGCCATGACTCTTTGTTGATTTACACTGAGCTTGAAGTCCACTAAGACCCCTAGACTTTTTTCATACAAATGGCTGCCTAGCCACATCTTCCCCATTTCCACATTTACGTGTGTGTGCGTGTGTGTGTGTGTGTGTGTGTGTATGTTTTCCCAAAGTGAATGGCTTGAAGTTTATCTTTATTAAAATGCATCTTATTAAACATGACCCATCATTTACCCTCATGAGAGCATTTGTGATCCTGGTTGTGCCAGTGTGTTACCTTTCTCTCCAAGCTTTATGTCATCTGTCAATTTGACAAGCATATCACCTATTTCTTCATCTAGGATAGTGACAAAAATATTGAATACAATAGGACCAAGAATAGAGCCCTGGGGCATACTGCTAAGCCTCTGTCTAGGATGACATTTATCCATTAACCACTCTGGGTTTAGTTCCAAATTACAGCTCTAATATGTACCTACAAGTACATATATCACAAGAAACTTTGTCAAGTGATTTGCTTAACCAATCACTCACTCAAGCACCTATTAATCACCTAATGTATGCCCTGTGTGCACATTGGACTTAAGTCCAAGAGTATGTTGTTTACATCTTTCCCTTGACCTACCACCTAGCTACCCTGTCAAAAAAGGGAGTGAACTTGTTCTGGCATGACTTGTTCTGGATGAATCCATGATGACTTTGTGATTATGGCTTTCCTTTCTAAATGCTCACAAACCATCCTTTTAATAATCTGTGCTGTTTGAGTACTACTACTACTAACAACAACAACAATAACACTACCAATAGCTATCACTTATATTTCATTTTAAGGTTACGAAGCATTTTACATACTCTAACTGCTTTCATATTCACAATGAACCTATGAGATAGCTAATCAAGATTGTATTGCCAGGTTCCCTCTTCTTTCCTCTTTTGAAAGTCAGAACATTTGCTTATGTTCATGCTAAGAGACTCCTCTCCCATTCTCCCCAGTCTCTTAAGAAGCCCCATTGGTGTTCAGCAACCACACCCACAAGTCCTTTCAGTCCAGTAAGACACAATTCCTCTGGGCCTGGTGACTTGACCTTATTGAGAACAGCTGGAGTTGCCCAAGTCTGCCCATGTCACCACCACATCCTTCCTCAATAAACTTGATTGGCCCCCTATTACTTCCAGGGGCAAATGCAAACACCTCTGGTAGATACTTAAAGCCTTCACAAGCTGACCCCAAACCACCTTTCCAGCCTTGTTTACACAGCCCTTTCATATGCTCCACTGTCTAGTCAAATTAGCTTCCCGGCTATTCCTCATACACTGCTTCATTTCCCATCTCTGAGTCCTAGCTGCCACTAGCCATCCCCCACACCTGAAATGCACTGCCTCTTCCCCTTTTCTTCTTAGAATCCCTAATTTTCTTCCAGATTCAGCTCCAGTTCCATTTTCCAGGAGACTTTTCCTACTCTCTCCACCTGCTAGTGTCCTCCCTTCCAAAATCTCCTTGTAGCTGTATATGCCTATATATAAAATGTATGGACATGTCTCTCACATGTCCAGAATATGACCTCCTTGAAAGCAGGGGCTGCTTCACTTTTGTCTTTGTGTACCCAATACCTGGCAAAGTGTCTGGCATATTGGAGGCATTTAATAAAATGCTTTTTGATTTTTGATTGGTCGATGGATTGAAGACTTATGCATGAGTCTATGTGGACATGGTTGTGTCCCTAACTATTGCACCTATATTATATGTGTGACTGTATCTGACTGTCTCTGGGTGACCTCTTAGGCGATGATATTTATGTTTTTGTCCCCATGAGACTGTATGTTGTATGACTGCGAGACCCTTTGTGCCTTTACGCACAGTGCCGGGTATCCCAGAGTGAGTTTCCCATCGCAAAGCTTGTCGGCAGGTCAGGGATGCACATATATATATATATATGTGTATATATATATATACATATATATATGTATATATATAATGTGTATATATATATATACACACTCTCTCTTTCTCTCTCTTTCACACACACACACACACACACACACACACACACAAGCTTCTAGTTTTGCCTAGGCCTCTGTACAGATACATGGCCACTGCTGGCCCTCATTTGCCCCAAGGGTCTTGCCCACTGTTGACCCATTTCCTTACCTGGCTGGGGTAGCTGCAGGGAGCTCCGGCTTCTCTGGGTCAAGCCCACGATGGCTGCCATCTTGGCCCCCAAACTGCTGCGGCGCTTCTTGGCAGTGCTGGCCCCAGCTGTGCCCCCACTCTGCTCCCCACCACCACCAAACACTTCACCGCTGATGCTGGAGCTGCGCACCACATTCCGTGACGATGCTGCTGGGCCTGTGCCTGGCTCCCCATCAAACATGGTCCTGGAGGTGTTGGGCCCACAGGCAGCACTGGGGACAGGAAGAGGAGGGGTCACTTGTCACCCAAGCCTGTCCCCAGGCCCAATTCTAGCCTTACCCTGAGGCTTCAGCTGCAGCTGAAGTACAGGAACTGGCCCCAGGGCGGGGGTAATGTGTTCTTGCTGTCCTGGGAGCTGGCGGTGGCTCCATCTGGGCACACTGGGGACAAAAACACCAGACAATCTATCTCCTCCTTAGCCTGGAGTCTGCTCTAGGGCGAGACTACATTTCCCTTAGTCCAGGGGCTCCCCGAGCACTGGATCATGTATCCCCCTCAGAACAGACTCCTTTAAGACATTGCCATGCCTCCTTGCCCTGGACGAGGGAGAGGGAATTCCTAAAGGCAAGGCTGTATGTCCCTTAGGCTGCAGGATTGCAAGTCGCCTTTGCAAATCCCCCTCCCCAACCTGAAGTCCAGCTCGAAGCCACAAAAACCAGAGGTAGGCTGCTCAGCGGCTGCCACCTCCAGGAAGTGGCAAGGACAGGTAAGGAGATGAAATGCCACTCAGCCAGCTTGGTGGCTCATTTTTCTTCCCCCTTGTGAATAATTGACATCCCTCCTCTTCTCATTGGGCAGATCCTCTGACTTCCAGGAAAGGTAGACTGTCAGCTCAGCCCAGTGGGAGCTACCTCACGATCCCTGAATCCTAGGGATCAGACAACATTGAGATGTGCCTGGGGGACCTGACTTATCTGGGGACTTTGGAGGGATGAGGGCAGCAGTGATTCAGTCACCTCAGCCCCAGCTCATTTAGTCCACAGGAAAGTCATGGAGGTGAGAACTGGAAGGATGCTTAGAGACCCTAGATTTTGAGCAAGAAGGGAACTTACAGGCTGTCTAGTCAACTCTACCCTTTTTACAGATGGGGAAACTGAGGCTCAGAGAAGTTGTCTTGTCCAAGGTCACAGAGGTAGTAAGGAGAAGAGAGAGATTTGAATCTAGGTCCTTCACCTCCAAACCCAGTGCTCTGTCCACTTTACCATTTCACAGATGAGGACACTGAGGCCCAGAGAGAGATAGGGACTTGATCAAGATCACAAAGTGAGTCAGGGGACTACAACTAGGCCTCCTAATTACAAAACTGGGGCTATTTACACTGTTTCAGTGCTTCTCACAGTGCCTGGAACATAGGAGGCAATTTATAAATACTTGTTGACTTGATTCCCACCAGGGTCCCTTCTTTTCTTCCCTGTTTACTTGGTATTCCTGCACAACCCTGGGGACTCGGGTTTCAGGGGCTTACACTCCCAGGAAAAGAGCTCCCAAGGCAGCTTCTCTCCCCCAGGGGACACACCTCTACTCCCTTAGCACTCTCTCTAGGCCTTCCAAAACCCTGGCCCCTGCATATGCCCACCCCATCACACTCATTCCCCTGGATCATAGGAGAGGGATGGACTGGAGGGGTGGAGCTGAGGGCAGGAGATGGAACACGCAGCCGAGCTGCAAGGGATCTAGATAATAGACTGTCATCGTGGGAGAGAATTCGAGAACTTTGAACATAAAATATCAGGGATGGAAGGAATTCTTGAACTTAAAATGCTTAAAAATGGAAGCTAGGATGTTAAAGCTGGAAGGAACCTTAGAACAGGGGTCTCAGAATGTTCCAACTGGACAGTACGTTAGAATATATGACGTTGGAGCTGAAAAGGGCATGAACATAGAACACAGAATGGAGAGGCAGAAGGGATCTTGGAACACAGAACATAGAACATCACAGCAGGCAGGAATTTAGAACACAAAACACAATGTCAGAGCAGGAAGAGGATGGATACAGGATGATAAAACAGAACACAGATCACACGCTAAAAGCAGCCCCGAGAGCCCAGAACGTGAGAATGTAGATTGTCAGAGCTGGAATCCTTTCAGACTCTCCTGTCCGACGCCCACATTTCATCAACATGGAAGTGGAGGTCCAGACAGAGATAGAGATCTAGAGACCAAGAACTGAAACAAATATACTCAATATCTGTTGAGTGGATTTGATCACCCATTTTTTTCATCCTTTCTTTCTCAGTCAGATGGAGATCTCCCTCTTCAGGGAAGTAATTTCCCCTACACGTTTCTCCTGCCCCCTTTCTGTACCTAGTTAAAGAGCTTCAGGTTGTAAGTCTTACCTGCTGTGACGTCCTTATGTCATCTCCACTTCTACCGCTTCTTCAGAGAAAACCCTTAGACTGTTAGTAGGAAGGATTGGCTCATTTCCTGTCCTCCAAAGCCAAGGACCACAGGGTCCTCCCACCTCTGATCCAGTCCCCAGTGTCCCATTTCTAGCTCTGGCTGCTCAATCACCAGCCCAAGGTCTTAATGCTGAGACATGGATGTGCGTTCAAAGATCTGGCATGAACCCATTTCCCCTCTCATCCTGCTCATCCCTCATCATTGCCCAGTAGGACAGCTCCCTTCAGCCTTGGCCCCAGCCCCAGCCAATGCAGGGAGGGGCTTTCTACAAGGCCCACGCTTGTCAAGTACATCTATCTATCCATCTTGACTGGTCAACCAGCCCTTACAACAAACCAGCAGGGCAGCCTGTTCCCTGGGCTGAACTCACACTCTGATACAAGCCTGAAGGGCCTGGGAACAGAATGTCAGAGGTGGAAGAAGATCTTACAGATCATCACATCTCACCCCCCACTCCCCCATCTTACAGATGAAGAAAACAAGGCTCAGAGCCAGGAAAAGACCTGCATGAGGTCACAGAGTAAATTAGTAGCAGAGCCCAGACTGAGCCACAGCAATCTGAGGGAGGCTGAGTTTGTATTCTCAGTCCCATTTCACAGATGGATCAATGAGGATTCCAGAGAGGTCAAGGGAACTACCTCAAAACATATGGCAAGTAAGAGGCCATTTCCTAGTATAGCAGTATCTCTTCTCCTATCAGAGGGTCAGGAGCAACAACTTCACAGACATCCCTATCTCTCCAAACGCACACCCTGAGCTTCTGCAAATTTTATCTTTAAATCCCAAGAGCTGAGAACAAGGGCCTTGCATGCAGTAGGTGCACAATAAATGTCTGTTGTTGATGTGTCCATTTCCTCCAATTGTCCAGGGACTACTAGCTAGGCATGGGCCCTGGTTCCTCTCTAGGGGAGGGGAGATGAGGAAAGGTTTTATTTTGCTTGGAAAGCCTTTTACTCAATTCTAAGAGTGACCCTTCCTATAAAAAAACAAACAAAAAAACTTAAACTCACCAAACTGAAAAATGTGGGTGCGGTCCTTGGCATCCCCAATGGAATCAGCGCTGCCACCGCTGCTGCCGGGGGGCCCCTCTCAAGAGCTTGTACTCCAGAAGCATTGGAACTGAGCCTCTGATTTAACAGCCAAGTCCACTCACAGCTACCCCAAAGTGATCAGGACGGGTTCCCTGAGGGAGATGGCATCCAAGGAAGGTTTAGTATGAGGAGGGGCCCCCAGGGATGCCCCTTGCCCAGAACCCCACCTCATCTGTGTAATCCGGGGGCCCAGAGGACCTGGCATCCCCCCTCCCACTGCCTGGAGGAGAAGTATCATCCCAGTTGGGGTTTCAAGAGCCATTTGTAGAGGATGAAATCCTGGGTTTGTCTGCCTGGCTTCAGGCCTGCCGGCTCTGCTACTAGGAACAGAATGGGTCCCAGACCTGATGGGCTCCCCCACTGTACTCCCCCCTACCACCCCAGCTCACTACTAGCACCAGCTCCTTCCTGCCTGGGCTCCTCCCAAGGCTGTGAGGCTGGGGGCTAGGGGCTGGGGACACGGTCACTGTGGCCTCACAGGTGCGTCCAGGAAGCAGCAATTCATCAACATCCACAGGCACAAAGTGACATAGAGACAAGCATACACAGAGCACAGAGTGAAACACACACACACACACACACACACACACACACACAACCCAAGCAGATGTACTCTAAGTACACGCCCTAAGAGACCTGAAAATGGCCAAGGAATAGAGCAAGGCTCTGGGAGCACGTGTGTGCCCTGGGTTGTAGGGGATTGTCTCCCCAGAGTTCAGGCCAACAGCTCCCCAACCAGAAGGACACACAGCGGGACCATGACAAGCACACTCACACACACAACCACAGAGGGCTGGACCCACAGGAAGATGCTCACAGAGAGGTGGCCATAGAGGCTTGCATGCAAACACATGGGAAAACACACACAGAGACAAGTCGAGAGACACACGGGCACGCAAGCACACATACACCACACCACACCACACACACACACACACACACACACACACACACACATACATACATACACATGGCTGCATTGGGGTGTCTTACCGGCAACTGCAGAGTCTGAGGGTGAGGTTCAGGCAGAGCTCTGAGCCCATGCGTCCCTGTTTCTCTCTCTCTCTCCCTCTCTCTCCCACACAGACATACACATACGCTTGCAAGCACACACACACACACACACACTCACACTGAGCCTAGTCTGGCGGCAGGAGGGGGAACGACAAAGGAGGAGCATAGGAAGGTTTCCGGAGGGAGGGGGCGGGGGCGGGAGCAGATCTCATCTCCATGGCAACCATGCTGACCCAATTCTCTAGCCCGACCCAGGAAGGGATTGGAAGGGGGGAAAGGGACGCAGCCCAAGTTGGATTGGGGTTCCTTGAGATCCCATTGTCTCCTCCTTTCTTGGGACAGAAACTCACACCCAGATAGCTGAAAAGGTGCTCAGAGATTATCCACCGCCATATACTCTTCCATCTTTTCATAAAAGAAGAAAGTGAGGCCCCAAAGAGGGGCAGTGACTTGACTAAGATCATAGAATCTTATAAGTCTGTAGAGGTTGAAGGGCCCTTAGACATTCAACAAACATATATTAAGCACCTACTATGTGCAAAGCACTTTGCTATATAAAAATGAAACCTACCATGCCCAAAAGGAATTTATGTTATGGGTCTAGTTCAACTACCTCCCTTACAGAAAAGTAAACTGAGGCCTACTGAGATGAAGGAACTCAACCACAATCACACAG